ATTATGTTCCCTTAGATGACTCATTTTCAAAATATTGTGGCTTAATTGGAAGGCAGAATAGAATATTTTTAAAGGATTGATTTACCGAAAATAATCTATTATTTACTACTTTGATATTTTTCTTAAGTTGTTTCAAATGCATACGTTTTTATAAATTCTTGTCACCCTTTTAAGATGGTAATTTGTGGAAATCATATGTTGAAAACCTATATTTCTTTGTTCTTCATCTTGAGTGTAACTGAGTACCAGATTCAAAGATTGGGGCCTGAATTTAGCTGCTCCTAAATTTGTGGGTTCCAGCTGAAACTAAAATTGTTATCAGCCTGAAGACTTTATATATTTTTTTTCTTAAAGATTTTATTGGGGAATTGGGGGAGGGGGAACAGCATTGGGGAATCGGGGAAGGGGAACAGACAAGTTGCTGTCCTTTTGTTCTTCAGTCTAGTTGTGGAGGACGTCACTTCACTGGCCCATGTTGGTATTATCATTGTGCTCTTCCTGGGTGAGGCAGTTGCTCGCCGGCCATTGGATGTCCGCTCACGGCAGCTTACGGCAGCTCACGCTGGCTGCCCACCACTCACGGTGGCTTACGACAGCCTACGCAGTCGCTGGTGACTCACGGCAGCCCAGCTCCAGGTCGAGTTGTTGTTCACCATCTTAGCTGTAGTGGGTGCAGCATCACTGGCCCTCATATGTGGGATCCGAACCCCGGGCCCTGCGGCTCAGAGCTGGCATCCCAAGCCAACTCCTAACCAAGGCGCCACTCGGCCGGCCCCAAGACTTTATATTTTTAATATTCCATTTCTGTGTTCTGAGGAATAAGGAAAACGCTTACAAAATGCCCCAAGAATCCTTTCAGATTCATCTCTTGTCATGAAAAATGGTGGTTAGAACTATGAGCACAATACACTGCAAGGTGTTCAAAGGAAGATTATTACATTATATTCCCCGGACAGAACTTACCTGGACAGAAGAATCCACTCAGCTATTTTGTGATTATTCTTAACAAAGATAGAAACTAAAAGGATTTTCTTGTTTAATGCTGAGTAGCCAGAAAAGTCATTTAACAAGAACTCTCCCTTCTGTGTGAGTATTTTACTTAAGTAAAGTTTTCTCTGCTTCGGTATTATTTTGTTAGAATTCTAAGAGTGTGGAAATGATTCCTCCCCCAATTTCTCCCCTTATTTTTACAATATATTAAAAAAGTAACTAGTCTTTAAAAAAAATAGTACAAAAGGGTATATAGACCCGAGCCTTCTTCCCAGAAGCAACTACTACAGCTGCTGTGCAGTCTTATGGGACATTTCTATACATTAATGTCAACAACTGTTTGAATTCAAGAAGGAACACTTTTTTCTGTCCCTTGCATTTTTTTCTTTCACTTAACACTATAACTTGGACACTGTTCCACACTGTTTTAGATAGAACATGTTCTTTTATATGTCTGAATGGTATTTCATTGCATGGGAGTGTCCTCAAACATATTTTAACCAGTCTTTTCATGATGGACATTTAGGTTGTTTCCAGTCTCTTGCTACTGTGAACAAAGCTACAGTGAACAGTCTTACTACACACACGACTTTGCATATAGAGTCATGTAGGGCAATTTCTTTGAAGTAGAATTGCTGGGCCAGAGGGAATGCGTGCCTGCCAACAGGGTTGCACTAGCTGACACTCCCATCCGTGGTGGTTGTTTGCTGCCCCACACTCTGGTCAACACTGCATAGGACCCAAATTTTAAAACCTTTGCCAATCTGATGGTGAAATAATATTTCTGTGTTCAAATATGCATTTCTTTAATTCTGAATGAATGCGAGCATCTTTTTATAGGTTTAGAAGAATTTGAATTTATTTCTTCTGTGAAATGTGTTTTTATTTTGGATATTAAAAAAATAATGATTCAAGGATAGCCTGATGGCTCAGTTGGTTAGAATGTGTGCTCTGAACAACAGGGTTGCTGGTTCGATTCCCCGCATGGGATGGTGGGCTGCGCCCTCCACACGCCCCCCCCCACACACACACACCCCGCAACTAGATTGAAAATGGTGATTGAACTTGGAGCTGAGCTGTGCCCTCCACAACTAGATTGTAACAGCTACTCTACTTGAAGCTGATGGGTCCTGGAAAAACACACTATTCCCCAATAAAATTTCTTTTTAAAAAAATAGTAATTCAAGAGGAAAACGGATAACCTCTGCTAATCTTGAAGGATCTCATCTTCTATCCTTTCAGAAACTACTTTATTTTCTGAGCTCTTGAAAAGATCTTCACCTGCAAAATCTTGGTCATGCTGTCAACCTCCTCCCCGTGAAGCTTTCAAATAAAGCCCTTCAGGACCTTCCCCTAAATCAAAGAAGCTTTCCTACCATTTGCTTCTCTTTCTGTTCCAATTAAGAGTTATTTATAGGGAACCCTTGGGTTATGTTCCTCCCTCCTAATGTTCATGCCTCTTAGGAGTTGATGCTATTGAATAGTTGAGTGGTCTCTTTAGCAAATGCACACACCTGTTGGTGCTTACATCTTTCAACACCCCCCACCCCCAATTACATGATTTAACTTCCTCTAAGTACTTTTGAAATTTTTAAACTAATGCCTCCAGAGCACTTACCCAAGATTACATTATCTGGCACTGGAAAGAGCAGTGGCGTGGTCAATATGGAGACATAGGCTCCAGATGTGTTTCTCCTTCCAACTGGATGTTTGGTCTTATCTTGCCGCTTGGTCTCTCTGCAGCTTAGGGAGCTCCTTAAAAAGTGTGTATGACTCTAATAAGAAGTCCTAATATTTCAATTTTTCATTGGGTAGATTGCTGCTGTTGTAATCATCCTTAATATCAGGTCTGTGTGTGTGTGTGTGTGTGTGTGTGTGTGTGTGTGTGTAGGTAGGAAGACAAGTACTTGCTTCTAATCAGGTGGTCTCTATTCTGTCTAAAAGGCATTTGTGATGAGTGTCCCAAAACTGACACTGTTCTCTCAGTTCATTAGGCTGAGCCAATTGTCTTGGCTGAATGAAATAAGATTCTGTAAAAGGAAATACTTAAGCATGAGCATAGATATACCACAGTGTGAGCCGTGGAAAAGGCAAGGAATTTCCCATTTGGTGACAGGGAGACCTATAAGAGACAACCTGCTACTACTCATGAAAACCACAATCTGGCTTTTTCTGAGCCATTGCCCTCTTATTTGTTCTGTGATGCTTTGCTAGTGCTAAGTGACACAGAGATAAATCCCCACTGTCTATTAAAGAACCTCTATTCTTTTCTAAATCTCAACTGCTTTCTCCGATCAACCAGTGAAGAATTGTATATGGTGCTCAAGAGATCAGTTTCAGGGTTAAAAAAAAAAAAGGTTCAGTTTTTTATATTCTTTTCATCACTGCCACATCTCCCTTTAGAGCTCTTTATTTTGTTTTTAATATGTCTGGTTTTTTGGGTGCTTGCTTTCCTGTTCTTGTTCAGTCCATAACATTTTATTCTGGAATGGAACATTTTATTCAATCGAGAATTGCCTTCAAGTACCTGAGCCTACCAAACAGCAGTGTTGGGGGTGGTATGGGGACCCTGTCGAGTAATTTGGGATCAGAAAGGGACAAAATTCTTTGGTATTGTTACCTGTGACTTGAACTCTATCCTTTTCCTGCTATTCTTCCTTCTGAGAATAACCATCTCATTGTCCCTAAAGGTCTAGGGGGAATCATCGAAGGATTTTACACATTTCAAGGCTCTTGTGTCCCTATGGAACATGGGGAACACGGGGCGGGGGGGAGGGGGTCTCAGGGGTTAGCTAACCAACTGGAGGCTCTGGAGCTGAGCTTTGTCTTAAGCGCTCCCATTTATGATTAGTAACCTTGAGCTAACCACTTACTCTCTCTGTCTCTAATTTTATTAAGTGATAAATGGAAATAATTGGACCATCCAACCCCATGGGGTGTGCTGGGGAGAAATAATTGTAATGATTATAAAGTTATTAGCGAAATAGCAGAGTGTAGCATAAAGTGCTTAATATTATAGTGATTCTAAGCTTTTAATCTCCGGAAGCATCTCAGAACTTTAAACATATGAATTTGAACATGTGGTTGCTTTTCTCCCACCCAGGTGCTGTTTGAACTTGCTCGCTATCACGCCCCCTCCACCATCTTCCTGGACGAGCTGGAATCGGTGATGAGTCAGAGAGGCACTGCTCCTGGGTAACAGAGTTGATTTTTTTTTTTTGGTCATCACTTCTCCCCTCTTGTAAGTGTGTTTGATGGTCGGAAGCCCATCGACATTTACCAGCAGAATGAGCCTATTAATAAGCCCACAAATTTTCTGCAGACACACGGAAAGGTCTTTAAATTAGATCCTGTTAACTGAACAGCTGATTTAAGTAGTTTTTATAACCGGAGGAAATGTCATCTACCCTTCCCCCCTTCCCCACAGAGTGGTTTTCAGGCCTGAAGATCACGGAGCCCCACACATCCCAGGCTGCCATAACAGTCCTGCTGGCTCAAAATAGCCGCCTGTGACCGCCTCCTCTGGAGCCAGGAGGGCTGCCTGCGGGGAATGGGGCTGCAAAAGGCCAAGTCCCGAGAGGGACAGTCCTTGCAAGGTGTGCAAGGCCAGGGAAGCCACCACTTCTCTGGGACATCAGGTTGTGGCTCAGCATGTCCGATTTTAAATACGTCACATATGTCATCTCGAAAGATTAAGTGTCTGCTAATGTCCCCAGCAGGAAGGGCTGTTCACTTCTAGTTCACTTCTCAGACTGTAATGAGCCTTCTGTGTGTG